AGAAGCTCTTCAATCTTTTTTTCCAATACCTGCTTTGATATACATAATTCCTCATTTTCTTGCCTTAACGAAGTTTCACAGTCGCTAGTAATGGGCTTCATCTTCTGACGCTCTTTTTGCTTAATATAATTTCCAAACGCCTTATTTAACAAATCTTCCACTTCGGGATGAATACTACTTGCCTGTTCTATCGATAATGGATGTTTTCGTGAAGTAAGACGTCGCCATGTATCTATTTTAATGGAACGGGGGAGCTGGTTAAGTTGCTTTGAGTAATATACGTGAAAAGTTGGTGTTAGTATACCGGTCATTGTTACCATAGGTAGCTAATAAAAAATTTTGAGAATTTTATAGATTCAGAAATTTTATAAGAAAATTTTGAGAATTTCCCCGAAGGTGCTTTGCTACGCGCCAATATCACGGATTGCGTCACATCAGATAGGGGATCTGCTAGAAAACTCCGATTGGCAAAAAATTCACGTGATTTTGGCAGGGGTGGCCCGGCTGAAATCTGCCAAGAATCCATGATCACGTCTTTCGTGATATAGATAATAAGTTTTTAACTATTTCGTTTTGCAATTGCTTATCTTCCAATTTCACAATTCTGGCCTTAAGCTCAGCATTCCTGGCTTCAATCTCAGCAAACTTCTTTCTAAGTTCGGCATTCTCGACTTCTAGCCTGGCAATGTATATTTTCAATGAATCGATCTCATCTATTTCGGATTGCATACTAGCGTAATGTAGTATTAGTATGTTAATATTCAAAAGTAAAAAATCACGTGATATCCTGACCAATGGTTAGCAAGAAAAAATCTATTATCCGGCATATATCCACACGAAAAAAAATACATATGAATGTGTAAAAATAATCGGCCACTAGGGCGCTTTATTGATATAGAAAAAAATAAAATACAATTTTACTATATATACATGACTTATTCAGAATCTACAGTTGTACTATCTTCTTTCTGTCTATCTGATTTAGGTGTAGACCCATGAGGGAGTAAGGACATATTGACTATCAAAATATTACGCAAGATTAATAAAGTCTCTATAAATTTCGCTACAACAGCTGGTTCTGACTTTTGCACAGGAATCCTTGACTCGTGTAAATGATAATATCTATCTACATTAGCTCCATCCCTGATAAGAACAGTTAGTCGTAATATAGATCCAGCAACTTGCAACCCAATTATTCCAAATTCGTCCTTTTCAGGCCTCCGACCTTTATAAACCCAATACATCCCATCGTTAGTCTCACGCCATATTTTTACTGCATCGTCTTTTATTTTTTGTTCCGTACAAAATAGACGCGAGCACTCTGTATACATAAGTTCGTATTTTTTCCCTCTATCCATCATTACAAATATAATATCAGGGCGTCTTCCTGAACGTTTTCTTCTATCTGCACTAGCGATGCTCTGTCGCTCATACCTAAAAAAATAGTGTAAATAAATTTATAATAGTTCGTCTTAAATAATATTATTTTACTTACGTGCTAATATAGGTGAATTTCCCATGTGGGAGATTTTTCAAACTAGCTCGAATTGCTGGAACTATCAAATTTGTTAGATAAGTTCCTTCATTCAATACTTCAGCTTCTTCAGGACTAAATGCCGAATTATTCCAAGAATCATTCCTAATGAAATTAATGCTTCTAAGATAAATATACTCATAATTGCAATCTAACAATAGTAAAATAACTTACAGCGTTTCCAAGATTCCATCAGTGATCTCGGCAAGCTTCTCGTTTGATTCCTTCCACCTTCCATCATGTAAAAGTGCTCGGGGTAATTTATTAGTATCACGACTAGCGAAATCTCGTACAAATTCATTACATTTCTTTCGTATAAACCCCGGAAGAGTAGTAGGCACCATGTTTTGTACCGGTTTCTAATAACAGATTAGGATTAGAATTACATTTCTTATTTATTAATTTAATGAATACCTACCATAAAATTTTCACGTAATTGTTTTGGCAACTTCTTTATTATATCCGATTCATCTGCAATAACTTGACTACCCAGCGGAACCTTCCATGTTAATTCGTCTGTAGATACTCGATTTACGGCCGAGAACAAATGTTGATAAAGAGTTGATGTGTTTTTTTTAAGTTTAGATTTCAACTTATTTATATTGCTTCTGATTTGGGCCGAACTAAGAGGTTCTTCTTCATTTACTTTTACAACCCCAATGGCTCGTAAACTAAAAATAGCTTTATATGAAATGTCAAACTAACGCAGACATAAAGTAATTAGTTTATACCCATACAAATAATATTATTTCCAGAGGCGCATGCGCTGTCAGATTGTAAACAAGATTTCGTCTTTATGAGGTTAGCTACTCCATCACGCAAACAAAAATCTTGTGCAATGCTAAAATATCAACACAAAATTAAGCATGTATATATAGCTTAAAGAACCCTCCTGCTGTCGAGGAAAATCCTGTTGGCAGGCTATAGGGAACTTAAACTATTATGCTCTCTTCCTTAGTGGCATCGCTTGTCTGCGTCTTCATCATCCAAAATTAATATTTTATAGAAAGCTGTCGTCAACTTACCTCTGAAAGAATTTCTAGAAGAGTTGTATGACGTGAAGAACCTCGAACATTTTGATTATTTGCTAGAATTACTGCCTGAGATATAATACTTCTCAACTCTTCCTTCGATACCCATGGGTCGTCTTCAATCCCTTGATAGATGACGGAGGCTCCAGTAATATGCTCCTCTTCTGCATTTACTAAGAAATTATAAATTTTAGTAGATAAATGAGTATTCATGCTGGAAAAAATAAAAGTGACGAATAACTTTATTTCTATATACTTGCCCTTTTAAATCTCCATTCATGCTCTTTCCAAGTCACATTCGTGTTGGGGGAAGAGATAGGAGAAATATGCAAGACACTTTTACGCCAAAATTTTGTGTTAGAGAATAAGGGCATGTGGAATGTGCATTGAAGATCTCAACATTTACAAAGGCGTTGGGGAATATGCATATACATACTTTTTTTCTTTATTTCACCTGCCCGACCGCTCAGTAATAAAGGCCTAGTAACATTATATAATATACTCCGGACAAAATCTAGTAGGAATAGCCTGTAGCCTGGGAGGAAATAAACTCATAAATAAATGCTATTCAGATAGATAGGGAAAAAAATTCGAAATATTCTTAAGGTTGATTTCAAATTGTTTTGTCGCACAAGCAGTCACACAGAGTTACAGATGATTTGCGGTGTATCACTTATTACATCATATATACTTTAATGAGGATCGAAAACGTGCTAATTTATGCTTTAGCGTCTTAACGACTGTCGCACATGCCAACATGCATTGTGGCTAGGCAATATATTATAATATTCGGGATCTGATGATCTGACACCGCGAGAATTATAATCCAACACGCTCACAGATTGATTTTATACTCCATGAATTAGCCTTATATTTCTCGCATTCTGTAACTCTAATGATATATTCAATGTTATCTTTATCAATACGATAATAATCAGGATTCTGTAGCCACTTTAGTTGGTTAGACCAATCCGAACCTCTAATGATTATATAGCCTCGCTGGTATAATTTTTTAAAAACAATACCATATGTTACATTAGCTAATCTCACAGATAATTGCCATTTCTTCTCAATTATCCACTCATCATCTCTTGTAGGCCATGAAGGGGCGGGATAAGTATCACGAGGAGTTATACCTAAGAGTTTCTTTCTATCAGGAGTACCATCATTCCTCACCGCCTCCCAAATTCGTTTTGCCAAAGATTCGAGTCTCTTCTTGTAATTCCTGTAAGCTCGCTGGATAACTGTTGCATAGAAATTTTCAAAGCCGTAATTATAGTATTTAGGAATCAAGAATCCCCAAGATCGCTTCATTGATCTTCCTGAAATACTTTATTAAAATAGTTATACAATATTGGAGGATCTAACCCAGAATAGACGGATCATGCATAGTGATTCTCTTCATATATATGAAGCATTTCACAATTATACTAGGCGATCATGTATGCAGATTATATAGTGCAAAAAATAAAGTATAACATATGTTTGGCTAAATGATATTAATCTTCAGTTGAATCAGTTAAACGATCGTGATTACTGTCCCATCTCTCAATCTTAATACAGTACCTTTTGGTTGATTAAGATGGTTTAAGTTATTTTGTTTTGCGTATATAGATGAAATAAATATTTCGCTTCCACTTGTTCTATCAAACTGCGGGAGGGAATCAGGTGTATTTTTTCCAGGATATAATACCCCCCTCCTGTCAGAAGATTTTTCACGTAATATTTCTGACTTTGAGCTTGTGAGAAGATGGGCTGGTCTCTTTAGGATCGCTTCTATATGTTTATTAGTCTTGAAACATGAGTTATCCCAGTGGTGTTTCATCAAGTCTTCAGGCTTAATCTCATACCCATATCTCCGCCATCCACTGAAATATGTCTTTTTTGGTTTTACATCAGTGATCTCTACTAATTTCCAACAATCGAAGCAAATAGCCATCTTGCAATTGTGAATATTAGGTCTGTGATAACCAATGGCAACTTCTCTCCCTTCATAGCCATTATAGTATGTCTTGGTTACTCCCTGCCCAGATGATCCGAAAAGGCAGAATACATGATAATAGCTTCTATGGCCTTCAGTAATCAATGCTTGCAAAGTGTCTTTTACACGAATAGCCCATTGCTGTGGAGTTTCATACGAACTAATAATAGATAAATTATCATATATTCTTTCAACCTCAACCATCTTTTCGAATTGACCAGGATAAAGGAAACCATAACGGTTCCTAATATATTCAATATCGTATCCAGGACGAAGATTGATGGGTTTAGGCACAGATTTATTATAAACCTCGTCTAAAATAATATCAATGTATTTACCAGGCCTAGGTCTATTAACAATATTTCCTGACATAATTATCAATTTATAGTGTTTTTAACGAATTCTGGTGATTCTTTAGCAACTTATACTAGATAATATCACCATTCAAATTTATACGGATTTACTGGCCCTCTCGTTCAAGAACTTCGAGGTGGATATCTTTTTTTTTTCTCACCCGCAGTCTTTAGACAAGGGGGCGGGATAAACCCAAATTCATTTTTATTCTATTACAAGCATATCGGGATTTATATAGGGTCAGATTTTATATTTACATGCGTTCTGGCCATAGGATTAACAGGGATTAGCCAGATATGATGTATAACATAATATTTGTATCACCCTGGCTCCAGACAGTTCCCGGCACTTCCTCGCAACCTTCCCGCAACTCAATCACAAGATGATCAGCCAATCAGATTTTGCGCAGTAGCTAAGCCACCGACACGAAACACATAACACACAACACTCTTTAAAAACAAAGATCTTTATTATATTTTTTCAAAGTATGAGTAGAGAAAAATACACTGATTAATAGGTGAAGAAATATGTAGTTACTGTCTATTACCCCCCACATTTGACGACTCTTGGGTATTACCAGTGGCAATGTCATAAGAAGGTGGTGGACGAAGAGATAAGAACAGTTCTTCATGCGTGGAAGTTCTTCTCTGACCGACCAACTGCTCTGTATCGGAAATATCCATTTCATCATTGGTGGTTAACGAGCTAACAGGCAGGAGTTCCGAACGTCTTTCTCTAACGGGAAGGGACTGTCTTCGACTAACAGATGGCGATTGTCTTCGGCTAATAGGTGGTGACTGACTTCGACTAATAGACGAACTTCGGCTTAACCGTCTTTCAGATGATCTCAATTCACGTTCGAGATCCCTAGTTGATGGTATGGGCGTAATATATCCACTTCCTCTACTTCGTTTTTGGTTAAAAGTGTTAATTCTGCGGATTCTATCGAATTCATCCTCAGATCTCTCCCAAAAGTGAGTACGAAATTCATCAAAATATCGTGCACCTGTTCGACTTCTGGCTTTACTTTTACCAGACATAAAATCACACATAGTCTAACCGGACATGAAGGATAGTTAGTAGAGCTAACAACAAAGTTCTCAAATATAGTGATAACTTACATTATAATCCCGGACGAGATTCGAGAATTTTTCTTTACATTGGTGACCGCTGAATGATGTCCCATTCTCTTGATTGATCTTACTTGCGATAGTACCCCAGAATCTTTCCCGATTTCTTCCAAGGTCATGGAACTCATCATTTCTGGTTCTACGTTCGTCAATAAGGGTACGAATAAGTGGATCAGTCCATTCAGCCATTTTTTTAAACAACAGATTTTTTTTTTTGAGATGGGGTGTTGAATAGGTCGTTTATATAGTCTAGAGCATTGATACGTAATATCATTTGGTACAACTGAAGATCAACTGAAGATCAACCATAGTTCAACCAGAGTTCAACCAGACTTTGCATTTTTCGTTTTTGTTCCACTATTTATAGCTCCCTTTATATATCAATCTGCGGAAAATAACATATCCAACTTGTTCCCCCACAATACCTTTTCTTCTTCGAATAAATATGAGAAAAAAGTGTGGTTGATGAGAGTTATCTTTTCGAAGCGCAATCTCAACCAGAGTTCATCCAGACTTCATCCAGACTTCATCCAGACTTCAAACCAATAATATCTATTCACAAGTAATTACGTACCTGGACCCCTTATTTCATCATTGTACTAATCCCAATATGTTAAATAAAAATGTACCGTTTGTCCGGAGATCTAGATTCACAATTATGTTAAGTCAAAATCTTATGAATTACGGCTTTCAGTTGTCAAAAATATACTAATAAAGTAAGGTTGGGTTGCGTAGCAATCTGGTATCACCTACCCCTTGTAAATCATAAAACTGCCAAAAAGAAAATCAATCCACAAATGGAAATAATTCCAAAACTCTCGAGCAAAAAAATAAGAAATTATGCCAGAACTTTCCGGAAAAAAAGGGAATATCACTACCGGAATAATTATTGATTTGACACCATGATCTGACCCACGATCTGCCCCAAAGATTTGCAAAATATCTTCATAAGATCTTGGCCCTGGCTTCATTGTTACAAAAAAAGCATCAGTCATTATTAAAAATAAGAGTACTGCGTAAATAACAGGGTGTAGTTAAATCACAGGAGATGACGTTTACATGATATCTAAGCCACCCACGTGATTTTGAAAGAACAGGAGTACAGGACCACATATATCTATAGAAAATGATTATTTGTCCTCGAGCTTCAGGACCTTTATTTTTGGTATCATTAAGCAAATCTACCACTCTTTCTGTAATTGTCGCTTTGTGCAGTGTCGCAACTGACTCACGGCTTAACCACCCTTTTTTACCCTCCCCTATTTGAATAATGAAATCCACTATGCGGTCGTCTATTTTATTTCCAAGATATTCTGCCTTAGAAATGTGACCAGCTTGAATGGATGCTTCATGAAAAACCTTCATATTAAAGACCTCCCTCATTAAACAGTGATATGCTTTTTCTCTTGGATCATTGCATTGGTTTTCGAGCTTAATCGAAAGATTAATAAAGTTATCAACCCAAGGCATATTTTTTCGATCATATGATAATACTTCGTGAACTTCATCAACTACTAGACCTTGACGTACAAGTTCTCGCAATTCCGTATCCGATACTATCATATTTTTGGACTGGGTCTCATTGGCTGATGATGAAGTTGCAGATGATGTGGATTGATTATGTCTCTTATTCTTTTTACGAACCATTTTCCCGACTTTAGAAGAGTGAATTCAAAATCTCGAAGAAGAAAAAATACAGAACATTTGGCATAATTACTGCGGAGAAGTATAGATCACGTTTACTGTGCATTTCAGGTGATCGGTCCAAGCCACTCACATGACGAGATTTTCGTCTATGCTTTTACCGATACTATTGGGATTCGAAAAAAAAGATATGATAATTCAGTCTAAACGAGTATGCAATTCATCCAATAATTCTACTAGGCAGTTACCGGAGAGATAACAGGACTCCACATTGGGGAAGAAGTTTTCCTTACACGTATTCCAGTACTAGGAGAGTAATAGCCTCTATCACGATTACCCCATTCATCGTATCCACCATATCTATCATATCCATCATCATCTGAATCGTCCAACATCTCTTCTTCAGAATCATTGTCGTGACTACAGTCACTATCATAATTCGTTTCTTCCACTGGATGGGGTACGGAATCATGATCGACTTCCTCATCAGAACCAGTAGGAACGTTTTCATCGTCTGACTGGACCCTAGGAGACTCCTTAACTTCGTTCACCTCCTCTTTCTCTACCCTAGCCGAGTTCTCGTCCTGCTTTGCAGAATTATCCCGCTCCTTCTGGGCCTCTATGATCTCTTGAATTTGATCGTTAGCCAACTCTGAAATGGAATTGGGACTATATTCACTAAGATACTTAATTTTATCCATACCTATTTTCTCGAATATTCTAACAAGCTTCATAGACCTTTGAGTCCTTCTAGTTAGAGAACTACGGGAGATTTTCGGAAGCTGTATACCCATTTCTTTTGATCTCTTCTCACGAATGTTGGCAAGGTGTTCTAACATCTCATCATAAATTATACCTTTTGCTTTTTTCTCTCCGATTTTTCCATTGCTATTTTCCACGAGTTCACTAAAGTGAACCATGAATTCTTTCCCAAAGTTAACCCAGCATAAGATTTCTTCCTCGTTGGCTTTTTTAGTGCGATATTCGGCATCTGATGCTTTATCAAATAGCTTCGCTAAATCGAGCAGAGATGAAGAACAATTTGGGCGACGGGCCGTCGCTGAAATTTCAGTCATATGCAATGCTTTTGAATTTTTTGAATTGGAGGAATTCGACTCTTGATGCTTTATATTATCCTGAATGGATGGCTCTGCCATCATACCATCAGTTATCACCTGAACAATTTTCTCAGTGCCCTTTTTCTTATGACTATTTTGGCCTGATTACTTCGCAACCTCTTGTACCGAAGATGACATGCTTTCAGTAAGAAGCTTCTTTTCCTTATTGCGTTGCTTTATTTCACTACTAACGATTTTCTTATGAGCCTCAAGCAAGAAATTATCCATCTCTTTCTCCTCTAACGGTTTTTCATGATGGACCGCACCCGAATTGAAGTTAGATAAGATGTTATTAGGAGTATTATCATTTTGCGACTGCTTCTGTTCCACTTTCGTGAGTCTATCTCTAACTTCAATATTCTCAGATTCCAGCTCCTCGATTCTGGCCTTGAGTTTGGCATTTTCAGCATCACGCCTCTCGTTATATTCCTTATTCGCTCTTAGAAATTCGTTATTACTGCGCTTAAGTTCAGCTATTTCAGCATCAGACACTGAAAGCTTTCTTCTAAGATTTACGTTCTCAGCCTCAAGTTCAGCGATACGCTGTTTCGATAGTTCAAGCTCAGATGGGTTAGCTTCGTTAACCGACATGATCAATAATAACTAATACATTGTATATAACTATTCAAAATAAAAAAATATATATCATATGTTTTGGGCGACGGGCCGTCGCTGAAATTTGCCAAGATTTTTTTATTAATACATGCTGAAATAAATACAAGGGATCGGGACTTTGCCCGTGATACATGTTGTAATTTCGTTTTACAAAGTGAAATGTTTCTATACTAATGCCTGCTATACCAGTTTTTCGTTTGTCTTTACAGCCTATACTAATACATTATCCCAACATTCCGGTTTCATTTGCCTCAATCATCGATATTCTGGACAAAACAAAAATGGTCGTCAGTTTATGCATAGAAGAGCCAGAAATAATTAACAATATTGGCCTTAGTAAAACTCACCAAAAGTATGTTCTCCGCCTAATAAGGTCCTCGAAATTTCTGAACAAAAAATAGATATTAGTTTGAAGTCGCTTCATTGCAAATTCACAGCCACAATCGAAATATCCATACCTTAATTGTGTAAGTCTCGTAGTCTCGTCCAGAACTTCAGTAATTCTTCGTCAACGCTTCTTTCGAACTGCGGTTTCTACGAGTTCAGGCTCGGAGAAAATAATATTACGGCTTGAGTAAGAAAAAAAGTTGTGTTCGTCAGTGTACTGTGCTTTATTTCCTGTTACACACACAAAGCCACATTAGTCAGATCGACGAAAATTTTATATAAATATCCGGATTGTTTGTCCTGATGAAATAATTTTTCGTTTTACAATTCACACGAAAATGTCGATCGAACAGCGAGGGCCCGTCAAATAAGAGTAATTTATTGTCGTATCTCACTACCGATTACGTAATAAAATGTCAAATAGTTTGATTAAACATGATCTGGTGAATAGTCACCATGTAAAAAGGTGCTTTTATTGATTGATGCGTATGATTAATCGTGAGCTACTATGAACGTGCTGTGACTCAAAATTACAAACGCTTTTTTTATGTATATAATGCGCCTTAAACCTCCAAAAATGTCTCCTAATTATTTCTCATTTACTTTCGTAAAACAGATACATTATGGTTGGTTGTTTCATCTTAGGTAGTGGTATTGTTTTCAACTTTGAAATCGGTCAATACAAAGACTTTACACAATTAAAGAAGGCTATTTGGGAGGAGGATAAGGAATACTTTGAAAGCGTTGGAATCAAAAACGAAAAAAGATTTAAGTTATGGAAGGTTCAGATCTCCACCAAAAATAACAACGAGTATGATAAACTTCTGGAGAATCATCATGAAGATCTTGACGTTAAAGAAGATTTCGGTGGTGAGCGGTTAGACGAAACCTGGCTTATTGATTCAATATTCAAATGCCCTCCTCCAGAAGAACACATTCATATTATGGTGCAACCCCCACCGCCCGCCACCACTGGTAAGTGTCTCCCAATGGTTTACCTCTCGAACAAGAAATTTTGTAATGATAACTAACTTATTTTATTTCGTATTCGCTTTCAACACAACAGACGCACCTAAAAAGGGAATATCAAGGCTAGGTATAAAGCTATTGTCTTTTAATTTTTGCGCTAATGTACATTTGATTCATATTATTTTCCTATTTTGCATTGAATAGGAGGTCTCGGAGGGACAAAATACCTAGGACTAGAAAATGGTTTTTTCTATGAAGGCGTTAATCTTACTAGTGCTTCTATATGTCGGAGAGAACCAACTATCAACAAACTGCTTAAAAGTCTGCTTAAAGAACGCATCATTTTAATTCGATCACCGCCCATGACCGGAAAAACATCACTTGGACAGCTACTTGAAGCTAAGTTGCTCCAATTAGATGAAGTGCAAAATGGATCAGCTCGTGTTTTTCGTATTTCGTTGATATGGATTGAAAAAATGACTACTTCGTGGACATTTTCGGAAGGATTTGAAAAACTTTTAGGGATAAATTGGGATGATTTTCTTGATCAATGTGGTCATAAAAAAACATATTTGATTGTCGATGAAGTTCAAAAAATATATAGACAATCAGATGGAGAACCTCATCATGATGGAAGTGTGTTTTGGAATTCATTTAAACGTATAATGCAAAATCTACAGCTTTTTATTGTAGCACTGGCTTCTTACGGACATTATGGTGCTTATGCCACTCGTGGAAATCGTTCAGCCATGGATATATCACCAGTTAATAATCTTACTGCAAAGAACAAATGGGGATATAAAGACATTTGTTATACTGAAGATGAATTTAAAGACTATTTTGACCGATTCTGTGGAACGTATCTTAAAGAAGAGCTGGTAAAAGATGACATTCCATGTCTTTTTAGCTATTTGTCTGAAATAACAGCCTATCATCCGGGCTTAATTGCTTATACTATGGATCATATTGGAGAAAGATTTACCAAAAAGAGAAGTAATTCTCTATCATTTGATGCAATTTTTTCTTATTTAAAATCTCAAGACTTTAATGATATTTTCAAGGTAATGTGATGTATTTTTGTTATAATAACTAGTATGTTTACTAATTTGTATATGGTGTACGGTATACCTTTCCAGACTATTCGTGCATTTTACCCAGTTACTGATCTTTCAGATGAGGAAAGGCAAATTGTTGATTCTGTGCTCTTTAAAAAAGGAGGTCTAGATTATGAAACAGAGAAAATTCCAAATAATGGCCGACTTCTTAAGACAAATGCACTTGTTGATACAAGTTCAAGCAAATCACACATTGCATTACTTGATTTTCCAGCACCATTACTCCGAATAACCTACCTTCAAAACCGTTTTGGTTCAATAAGCCGACCTAAATCACCTCCTAGTACGTTTAATGAATTTATAAAATTAGTACTCGCAAAAATGAATCCAAAAATATTGCGAAAAAGTAAAGGTAGAGGCACAGATGGCCGTCTACTTGAACGTGTATGGCAGATGGAATTCTACCGTGCCTCAATGCAGGTTTTATCCAATGACACTTGTGTTTCTGTAGATGCTGGATCATGCTTTGGGTCAAATGGTTATATCGACTTTTATGTAAATAATAAGAATAAATGGGCAATTGAACTGTTAAGGGACGGAAATAAATTGGAAGAACATCAGAAAAGGTTTGAAAAAGGTGGTATTTATATTCCCATTCTCAAACATGCAAATAAGTGGGCAGTCATTGATATTCGTAGTAGTGGAATGGAAGCTCCGGATATAAAAGATCGTAAAAAATATGATATATATGTTCTCTGTGCCGAGAACTTTGAATCTGTTCAGCTTATATATCCTAGTGGAACTGAAGAACCTGTTCGATTGTTAGGCGAAGAAGAAAATTTGCTTGGATATAATATCTCGGACTTTTTAGATGATCCAATGGAAACTGATTAAACTATTCATTCATGTTATTTTACTGAAAATTGTATTGACTAAAGTAGCAAAATAAAGTTTATTACGTTGCAAATCTTATTCTTTTTGTGATAAATATGGCGAAGCTTGATTATTTGTAAAATATTTTAGATTTATTTCGTAATTAATCCTTGCCATTTTCGCTTATTTTTGTTGTGACAAAAATCAGATGTTACAAAATTGCGACGATGACGATCAAACATGTTAATATTAATATATCTGCTTTGACTCTGTACCGTGCATATTATAAAGCCGAAAAATTGATTAGCATCGTGATGATGTTTTTTATCGAGAAATCAAACGTGGATAACTGACATTTATCGAGTTCCATTAGCATACAACTTATATTTGGTATGCATTCATTATGTCACATTATCACATCATAGGTGCAACCGTGAAGAATCTTCACGATCAAAAATCACGTGAGTATTACGCGGTGGTTATGAAAAGACTGTTGTACTAAAAATTTTTTACTTGATACACGCAAGGAATAAATTCGGGTCTCTGCCATGATATATGAAATTACTATGTTGGTTTCTATCCGCCTATCTATTTCTCTGCGAGATTATTCTATGACTTTACCCTTTCATTTCCCTCTACATTTTCCCGCATCTGTAATTACCCCATATATTATCCATATTGTACCCATGTTTGCTTTATGTTTGCGAGATAGTGAACGGCGACCATGCAAAGCTTCATCTTTTTGGACAGTAGCTCGATCATGACATTAGAACAGCATGGATAACTCCAAATAAAAAATATATCACATGTTTTTGGGCGACGGGCCGTCGCTGAAATTTGCCAAGAAAAATTTTTATTAATACATGCAAAATAAATACATAGATCGGGACGTAGTCCATGATACATGACGAAATGTCTATTCCTAAATTCTAATTCGTTTTCCCCTCAAGATCGGTTACCTTTGGTAACTCGCCTGACCTTACTCTTTTTATTTCCCTCTCCTTTACATCAAGAGCTGAGTCAGGCTTCTGTGCCTCCTCCAACAACCATACAATATGTTCGAGGACCTTTTCCACCTTAGTTTGCAAATCATTATCTTCGTACACAACGGTCACTGGTTTTGATAGTTTGAAGCTTGGCCTATCTTGATCATCCATCGAACATTCCATGAAATAAAATTTTTCGGCATCAGTAACTATCCCAAAAACTCTTCCGAACGTCCGTTCCTCCATTTCATCGGCTTTGCGCTTACGATATGATAAGGATGATTCGAGCTGGACTGCGCATTGAGCAACACCTTTCACAAAATCATCTTTTTTTACCTCCGTGACCCCAACCGTTTTTGCTGTCTGACATAAGTCAATTGCGAAATCGAGAGGTCCATGTCCATTCGGTCCAGAAATAACTTTTTGAGGGCGGATCTCAAACTTCCCCTTGAAATTATTCGCTCCAGCAAGCAGGTAAGAATAGACGTATAATGATTTCGTGGCTTCGACTGAAAGTAAACTGATGGGAGTGTTGTCGAGGCGGGATTTTAATTCTGCCATAAGTCCTTCCAGCGATTCCTGAGATGGCTTAACGTTACCGCACGAAAAATTTGGGAACACCGTCATTGTCGGATCCTCTGTTTCACCATTAAGACCGTAAAGCTGGCAAACTGAACTGAAAGTCCAATCCGAAAAAGCTTTCGAGGGAGTCTCAATGAATACGGTAAACTTGAGATTTTTATTTGACACGAACAGCTGGAGCATTTCACGAAGGTCTTGATCATTTAGAGGAGAGTATTTTCCGCTTTCATTTACTATGTTTAGCACCGCACCATCATTTTCGAGTGCCGGTGGTTTCTCCATTTTACGTATATGTTCTTTGAGGCCATCGAGGGTCGCTTGTTCGATGTTCACGGTCCACTTGAAACCCTTCGTTCGTTTAGGACTAACAACAACGTCGAAGGCTGTGATGCAACAGCCGGTTAGTAAAACTTTTTCGGGCCGTCTCGGAAATTTCATTTACATTGGGTAAGGAAAAATACATACCAACGGACTTGTTGAGTAATGCCTGCAACGAGGCGACTTCCTCTCTTAATTTCAACACCTCTGAAGTGGCGGTGGACTCTGGTGGCTCGACTAAGACATGAATACATTCTTCGGGAGGTGAGTCTGGAAAGTATTTCGAAATTTTTCTTATTGCCAACAGCTCGTCACTATCCTCAAGTGAAAGATTCCGCAACTGATCGTCGTGATCGTCAGAGATTGGCACCCTCCATAGTTTCAGGTCTTTGGCGTCAACATTAGCGAAAGTTTGCGGTTGCTCTGCCTTAATAACTTTTTTGAGGTGGCCAACAAGCTGGTCCTTATCTATATCGACAGGAAAAGCGTTCGCTAGAGTATTTCCTTTAATGAGGCATAGTAGAGTGATAGACATGTTTTTCGGCTTATATAGTATTTTTTGCGAAATGTTATTGGCTCAAAGTGCGGTATGTGAGGACAAGAGTAAAAAGAATTTTATTTGCGAAAAAAATACTGAGTGAGTACTATATGTGAGAAATTATTCTGTTTCACAAGCCTGCCGTATGATCAGCAATTGCATGGTGCAACGAACGCCTAATCACTGCGCCTCCCTAACCGTGAAGACTCTTCTCACTTATCACCTGACGTTTTTTATATAAAAATGTTAGACCGATATTTCATTACACGTGACCCATTTCTCATTTACTGGTAAAATAATACTTTATTTATGAAATAAAACGTTGCCGGAACGGTCCCAGAGGGACCAACCCGGCCTATAATACATAAAATTGCGACTATATCGCTACATGATGTGAATAAAAATATAACTACGTTCTCGGAAGTTCACTTTCTGATTTGCTAGAGTCGGGATCTTTTTCCAACACTTCCTGGAGGTATACGATAACATGAATAGGACCTATTTCACCATCATATTGAAGATAAGGAGGGTTGTTTTTAAGTCCTTTTATATCTTCCATGGAAAAATAATAAGTAAACTTATTGGGAGGCTCCATCAATTCCCCTTGTCTTTTTTCGGTAGTATTCACAGTATTGACCAAAGCATGATTGGGTTGTTTGAATTTTCTTACATATAGATCGAAGTTTTTTTGACTTAAGTCTTGCCGGACCTTTCTGATTTCGACTCCCAGATTTTTAACGGTTGAATTATTATCAATTACTACAGGGAAAATATCTTTCTCAGTCTCACCACGTACAAAACAGATGAGACAAATATTACTAGTAGTGGAAGTCATCTTGCTTTCCTAAATACAAGACCCATGGTGAGAAAAACTCATTTCCATACATACATAACTTCTGGCATATACATACTTTATTTTGCGTTAGCTATGCTAGTGAAACTATTTTACAGGAATATTTTTGCGGGAAAGTTGGCTGAACTTCCACATACCCCTATATCTTGCTGAGAAAAAGTTAAGGAGGTATGAGGCGTAGTTAGTATTGTCGTCTGATGCCAAGACTTCTTTGAAAGTACACGTAAACGGAATCCTCATACCTTTTCACATGTAGATCTACCGGAAAGACATACTTGGTCTTACGCCTGGCGATCTCGAAAATTGGAAAGTTCCCAGCCTTTCATAACATATGCTTCTAATATCACTACTTACTTTTACGGTAGGTCCTGTGTTGCAACTAGACGCTCTTTCACATTTTCTCACATTTGTTTGGGGGAAAAAATAAAGGTACTGGTTAGCGAATATATATGCGAAATTAATATGCGGAAAATGTCGCACTGACCTATTATGTGATCAGCTGTTGCACAATACGTGGGCTGATGTGCAGTATTCCGGACTCAAAATTGAATATATGCTAACCAGAGATAAACACAATCATGACAGGCAATACTAATAATGAATTTGTTCAAAGCGAAATACTTGAAAATCAGCTATATGAAGTGCTTTTGTATAAGAAGATGGATGTATTAGCTATTCAGGAGCGCCTAGCCGAAAGAAAACTTGATATTAATGACAATGCAAACCAAACAGCATTGAATCAAAGCAAGAAAGCGGAAACACTTGATTATACACTTGATTATACAAGTAAACTATTGTTTGATTTAGTGGAGAAAATTATATTGATAGAGAAGGTTCTTGAGACTGGTGGCCACCCAACCCTTATTACATTACATCAATATAGAGAAGATCTTATCGACAGATCATTGGGGGAATTATCACTTAGAGAAAAATACCATTTGCTTTTATATCTGGAAGAGGATATAAGCATGATTCAAGCTTATCTTGGTATTGTCGGTTATACTAACGAAGAAACGATAAAAGAAGATGCTGAGAAAGATGTGAGAGCATATATTCAAAAGTTTAGACGTTCCAAGATATATATATATATATATATATATATATATATATATAAGGGGTAAAATGTTTTATTTTACTGAAGAGGGGCTACCGTTATTCCCGAAGGTCACTCCTCAACAATTGCACGAAATTTTCATAAAAAATTTGGCTGGTACAGACCAATGCCTATGTCTAGAATAAGATAGATAATCCGTATTTTTTACCATATAGGAATACACGTACAAGAAATCTTCCGATCTGAAATGCTTCACATGATCTGGTCCTAGAGGGCTCTGGGTTGATATAATAACCGACCACCATTCCGGGGCGATGGTCTAGCCAGAATACAGCGTTCACTCAATCTCCTTGATAACCCGTCGATGATAGAATTATCTAAGGATACAACATCTCTTGGTGCATCATGTGGTATCCCCAGACTCCTTACGAGTTCACGGATCACATCTAGGGAAGGTACCCGAATCGGCACAAAATTCTCAACATGGATATTTGGATTAAGTGAAACGAGCTGATCTACGGCTTCTTTGCTAATATTATTACACCCTTCCAAATTGAGGTACTTTAAATTAAGACATGAACCAGCAATTTCTTTGATAGTTATATCGGTAATTTGACAAAAGCTAAGGTCGAATTGCTGGAGCCTTGGGCAAGAATGAATAACATTACAAATTGATGTTTCAGAATATTCTCTACGATTAGAGATATTTAGATATTCTAATCTATGGCATGACTTCGCGATTCTCCATAGACCACTACCATCTACTTCTCGAGTATGAAAGCTCCTAAAGCCACCTGGCCGATCAATGCATAGATTGAGATACTTCAGATTCGGGTATGAACTCGCTATCAGTTCTAATGCTCTATTACTAAATGCTATACTATTTATGAAACTCAAGTGGGTTATATTTGGGCATGAATGTACAATGCTTATGATTTTTTTATCTGAAAGTGAATGGTAGTATGATAATTCAAAATGAGTTACATTTGAGCAATAAACTGGCGTTTGCTTCCTACGTACTAACTTTATGAATTTTTTCAATCGAGAAAGATCCTTTGCACGTTCTATCCTTATGAATTTATTTAATCGAGGGTGTTCCTTTGCACAGTAATTTTTATAATCATTTGGAAGAGATTGCCCAGGATATAAGTCTTTTCCCTTTAGCTCAATATGCCTCCATAGGATAGGGGCACCACATCTGTATCAAAGCCGGCTAACAAATAGAGCAGGGTATAGAGATTTATCTATCAATAAGAAATGTAAAATATGTTCTAGTACTTCTGGTATAATAAAAATAGTTGATTGCGCCATAATTAATATATGCTTTATCTTTAATCGAAAAAATAAATTGGCCGAGCCTAGTTCGCTGGTAGATCACTGCTCCGGACTAAGCCTTTCCACTATGTCATCTAACGCAAGTGCTTGTAACCCATTCAAAAGAACTTTAAATGCATTCTCAGGTGATAATCCTTTGAGGAATAGATTTTTAAGAAGCCATTCTGGATAGTCTTTGCTTAAATTACACTCTTTCAGTTTCGAATAATATTCCTTTACTGTATAATTGCCTTGAACTATTCTCCCAAATAAAAATTCCATTCTTTTACGCCATTCAAGATTCGCCTCTCTTTCCCATATATTATTTATACTGCGAGAATTTTCTAGGTCACATTCTGGAAGATACTTTAGAATGAATGGTAATAGTTCAGGCAGAAGTTGTTCTAGTAAATTAACTGTATGCATTTTATATGGTTAGAATATCTTTCAATCAGAAAAAATCTTCCGAATGGATGATATGCATTCTTCTTCTAAAACTCCCCTTTGGCGCTTCCTGATCTGTTTCCGAATCCTTTGATGCTTAATCATCTTTACTATTTCATCAATATCAGAATCAGATGAACCAGATTCGGATGAGCTAGTCTCAGATGAGGAACTAGATTCAGACGAACTACCAGATGACGAACTAGATTCGGATGAACTAGTCTCGGATGATGAGCCAGACTCGGATGAGTTTAATTCAGACGAACTAGTCTCAGGTGAAGTAGACTTGGACGGAATATTGGTTAAGGCCGTCAGATGCTTTACCCTGAATGCCTTGTTTTTTTGAACGCCTCCAACCGGTTGGTCACTTTCCATTTTGATTATTTATATATTAAACTTAATATCCCTGATCGAAAAAATAGCAAAGCACCTGGCTTGATCCACTTCAAACTACAAACCGCTTAACCTTTCTTGGTCGCACCCTTCTTCGTTGCTTAGCCAAAGTCGCTAAAGCATGAGGGACAGCTTTTTTTTCTCTTACCTGGTACCCATGGGACTCCTCAACTATCTCACCCGAATCTGATTCTTCGGACGTGTCTGTCTCAATCGTATAGGAGAAATTCCTATTCCCCTTTAGGCCTCTTCTACTAATCAGCGAGGGAACTATTTCATGAATTAAGTCGACCACAGTTTCCCTATCTACACATTCGTCCAGATCTTCCGTTTCGGTTTCTAAGAACTTTACATTTCTCTCTAATCTTTTTACCCTCTTTTCTAAAGTGTTATATTGGGGATGACAATCTTCCAATTGTTTCTTTAATTCCTCTGTTATACTGAAAACTCTATTACGTACTTCTGTATTTAACTGGGCTATTTTTTCTGTACTTGGGGGGTAAATAACTCCCTGCTCGCTATGTGTACTATCAGATGGATGCTTTTGATCGGTTGCCATTTTCGTGGTATTTATATATGCTAGATCTTAGGCGAACGAAAAAATAAAATTTAATAAATGTTGTCTAACCCATCTATGTGATTAGTTTTCATCAGAAATCCAGAATGGTTTTGCTTGATCATAAGGTTGCCCCCTCCTTCTAAAATTAACTATAGTATATCTATCAGATGGAAAAGTATGATTGTCAGGACTGTGGCGAAGTGCTTCACTGGCATAAGTATTGGCTTTTGACGGATTTTTAGGCCCATGTACTACCGAAGCAAATACCGCTCCTAGTTTGCGCAAGGAACTAGGGAGTAATGGCTCATAAGGTTTAGGAATATATTCATCTTTTTTCAGAAACGAACTTAAGTATGTCGATCCAGGTTTTCCTGGATCTCTTAACTGTCCGGATGAAATTGCTTCCTGAATCCATGTAAGCAATTGCCTTGCTCGCTCCTCATTTTTTTCCAGCGATCTGAACACCCAAGGAACATCCTGTTGGCCTCGGTTCTTTGCGTAACCAGTTACACCCCCATTTGCTATGCGCAAGTTTTTAATTTCAGCAGGGCGAATACAGAGCATGATCATTACATCAGCTAGGGCCTGTTTATCGGGTGTGTTAGACACAACATATAAATCTAGCTGTTCCTTAACTAAGGTTGCTTGCCGAAACCTAGGGGTTTAGGCAAGATGGCATTTAGCCGAAAAGAGAAATTCTGCCAAAACTATATTAAAGTTATATTAAAAAACTGGCGAAACTTTGGAGAAAGGCGAAACTGCCGAAACTTATTATAAATGCCGAAACTGCTGAAACTCTGCCGAAACTATAATAAATCTATAGTAAAATTTTGACGAAACTAATCGTAGGATTTTGAGGAGGTTTAGACAAGCAACCTTATCCTTAACCGATTCTAACGAGAAGTGGTCCGAATAATGGAGTCCTTCATTTTTACGTTGCTCAGTACGCTTCTGTTGGATTTTATTAGATGTTCTGGTTATCTCCGGAATCTTGGTGGCAGAGATTATCACCTCCGAGGCGTTAAGCTTCCGCAATTCTCTTCGAAGCCTGGAGAGTCGTGATGAGGTAACGATAGGATCAGAGGCCATTTCGACTAAGGTTCTTGATATCGTTTTTACATTTCTTTCACTAAGATTATCCCGAACAATGTGCTGAGCTATTTCTTTAATAGTCTCCCCTTCTGGGGTATTCTCAGATACTAGGCTTATATTAACTTCAGCTTCTGAAGGCGTTAATCCTAATTCCTCTAGGATCGGTACTTGACTTATGTACCGCCCATTTCTCTGGTCAGGAATCAATGCAAATGCCTGTTCTTTGCTAAATTTATACCCTTTTTGAAGACGATTACGGGTCTGGCGCCTTTTCTCTCTATCATCTCCCAAGAGGTCACGCATTTCTGGCGCATACTGACTGAGCTCTTCGATACTCATCTCATTGGTAAGCTGGTGGTCTGTAACGAACTTGGTTGTAATTGCAGACATTATGTGGTATGTAGATTATATGTAGTAGTTAGATAATCTGTGGTATTCAGATTATATTAAGTGGTATAAAGTTCAATTCAAAAAAAAATATTCCGATAATGTTCGTCACCTCATGGTCGGTGGGCAAAGAATATTATAACTTATTGTGGGCTCTTTATGAGGCCACCGGCCGGGGTATCTTTTATATATATTTGAAAATTGCGGGTAGATAGGATATGCGAAAAAAAATATATAGTCAAGGAACTGCCATTCCAAGGCTACGAACGAATTGTCTGTATTGATTCACATTTTAGTAAAGTGCACGCGCTAGAGCTAATATATGTTCTGGTTCTAAAACATTCGTCTTAGTAAATGTATCATATAATGCACTCGGTCGATATTTCGAAGGAGCTAGATTCGGATGATGGAGGAATTTCATGAGTATGTTATTTCTCCAAACTTTCGTCTCTTCACGCTCCCAGCATAATTTTAATAGTTGACATAAAGTGAGATTGTGCCAATTAGCTTTGAGTAAAATCTGCAATAGGCTTATTTTTTCGTTAACCACTGCTAGTAAACTTCTTTCCGATACAATGTTCCAGATACGATATGAAATGAAAGAAAGATAACTTCTTAATATCGGCAATTCATGTAAAGGCGGGATTAAAAGCCTTTCTTCTTTCCAATGCATATAGCCTTCGAGTAGCAATTTACGATATACTGCCCCATTTATAACTATCATGCAATTAGATTTGGGGTTATATATTTTTTCGTGAGCTTTATCTATCGGCTGGTCTAACATGTCCGTAGCGTTAGTATGAAAAGTCGTTTATGACTTATCTTAATACTGAATAATTTAAATATACATTTTATTATAAAATTAAAAGTGAAAAGGCTTTTATATCCTAAAATACTTACATGGATCGTGTTACTTGCCGGTATATCAAGAGAGATGGTTCCATTTGTGGGGGAATCTGTACTCGTACTACTGGTTGTGCAAGGCACTGGAAATTATATGAAAAAAATTTGAAAAAAAGACCATGCCTGGTTTGTGGATTTCCTACTGATGCTGATTCGGGATATTGCGCCAAATATTGTTCCAAATATTCTGCAAAGTATCATGCAATGAATTATCGAATAAGACAGAAGTATGGGGCTGAGGCCCTTCAGTCCGGAATTCTCTCTGAATTGTCTGCTGAGGAGTGAGCAAAAAAATACTACTAGATATTATCAGATGGAAGTCTTGCTAGTTTACCGCTTTTAGCGTCTTCTTAAATGATAGTGTCATTTTTCTTACCACTTATCCGAGGCTCTAAGGGGATTTACTTTGCGAACCTAAGGGAAGGAATATATTCTGAGGATAAGTCTTCTTCGGAAATATTATATAAAATAATGGAAGAAGACTTATCTTCGAATGAATGACCTATTTTTGTGAAGTCTAGTAGTATATCCAGATTGTTTTATAATGAAATCTGCTTACGCAATATCAAATAAGTCTTGAATATCATTCGCAATTGACATATTGTTCACATTAGAACTGGAACTATCTTTAGTCTGCTTATTTTCCAAAAGATTTTCCATCAATAATTCATCGGGTGGGAGTTTACTATACCCATATCGAGTATCTTTCCCATTTTCCCAATAAATTTCCCTTCCTGTTTGGTATGAAGGTAACTCAGGAGCATCTTTGCTATCAAATGACCCAACCAGATGGTAATATTTGAGATTCTTATCTATAGCCTTAAATTTTAATCCATAAGTTGCGTAAAGTGATGCATTTAATAAACCAAGTTTTGCTCGAACTGTTTTTAATCCCAATTTTTTAGCACTGCGCAATGCATCTGTATTATCAAAAACTCGAGCCATTTTAAAGACTAAATCCTGGAGATATGATATCGAATCAGGAGATTCCATGCGTGTTTTAACATCATTAGCTTTATAACGTGTCCTATCGTCAATATCTTTAACGGGTGTACAATTTCTTAGCAACTCCAGACAAATTCGATGCTTATCAGCCCGGGTTGCAGTTGTGAGCCTATCATCTCTGTAATCTTTACAGGATATAGCCTCAACGGCCGTTTCATTGTTAGTACCAGCATCTCGTAATTGCTTATAAGCCCTAAACCATTTCATGTGATTGTAATTCCCATACTTGGAGATGAAATTCTCAGTCAATGATTCAGGCAAAATCTCATAACATTCCACAATATGATGCCGATCTAGAGATCGCATTTCTTCTAAAGTTTTTCTTGACTTGTTCTCTAGAAATTCGGCAGTCTCACGATCGACAATAGTAGCATTGGATACATCTGATATCTCCTCTGCTTTAACGATAGAGGAATTCGCCTTCACGGCTTGAGATAATGATACAACATTTTCTTCAGACTTAGGAATGGGATCTATGATGGAAATTATCATACCCGCTTCTCTGAGAAAATCGACCATTCTCCAACCAAATAAGCGCTGGGAACGGAATTTTTCTAACATATAGGCCACTCACAATCGAACAGTCGGTACATCCTTATTCCGGATGATAGAATCTATATCTGGAAATATTCCTCTATTCTGAAGTTCCCGGGGGAGACATTCGCGTTTAGCATTCAACAACCATTGGAATAATCCTTTCTCTGTGACTGGAACATTAGAAGATCTCTGCTCAATATGGCATATATAATCTTTAATGCAACGCATGCGGAATAACATCTGATTCGTTCCAGAATTTGTTTCTATGTAACTATTAAAAAGACAGAATGCTCGCTCAAACTTAGGATTAGTGCAGGATACTCCTATTTTTAAAGTGCTAGTATAGGCAACTAGGTCTACGTCTTTCCATGATTCTTCTACGTTGCTGAAGTCATGAGCCTTTTCCACTGGATCAGACTTGCCGTGGTATTCCTTGATCTGTAATTCTGGAAAATCAGTCTCAAGGGTGCGAACAATTCCTTGCATGTCTTTTCTAAGATGGCAAATAAGTGACGCACTTGTTCTATTCTCAAAAGGTAATGAAGACGTATTCTTGGCCCAGTCCCAAAGTTCAGTTAATACTGTTTCTTTATTAGGGACTAGACGGAATGTCTTACCTTTCTGAGGCTGATAAGTATTGTGGATAATAGAGAGAGGTATGCCCTTACGAAGGGCCTTAATCCATTCAATGTTGAGGTCAGTTAGGTCATTATCCATTACAATAATGCGTCTAGCCTCTTGGATCAATTTATATAACTTTTCTATCGATTGACCCGCCAGATGACTTTGTGCTTGAGCAATTATAGACACTATTTCATCAAGCCACAAGTCATATTGGATTGGAAGACATTTGCATTTTTTATTACATTTACAATTATTAGTAATCCGATGTAAGCTTTCTATCTGGCATACTACCCTATTATGATCAGGTAGATTTATATTACCATCAATATCACAATATGATTTGAGATTGAGTCTTGTAGTAACAGCATTCGAGTAAGAGTGGCGCGTGGATAATACTAGCAAATTCACGTCATCGGATATAGTAAGATGCTCTAGAACATATGTTTTTCCTGTCTCCCAAGGTGATCCAACATAGATATCGCCTTCATTGGGTAATGGTCTTACATATCTCTCCTCATATATTTCTGTCGCTGTAAGGGTTTCATTATACTTAACCCAGGGTGGCATTTTTACGAAGGCTTTAGGGAAGCCAGGGCCTCTTACCTTGTGAGAGACTTGCGGTGAATTTTTATTTTCTTGCTGAATTTTTTCTGCAATAGATGGGTCGCATTCAAAAACTACCCCCCGCTCGTCACTATTCTGCCGAAAACATTTTACGATGAACCTCCCACTGCTAGTGCATACACGGCCAAACCACCGCTGATCCTTGTCATGTATACGTTTGCAGAGTGGACATCCTAGTGGAGCTTTCCGGTTAAAATATACGAAGTTTTCTGAGTCTTTTTCTTCGATAGTCCAATCCCTAAGATAGCTAGAATGTTTTTGTAAAACTAGTTCTGCGTATTTTCGTAATATATCCTGACCCACGGATATTCTTAGCGGATTGTTATTTTTTTCTATGCTAAGCATTCTAGGTCTTACTTCAAGTCCCAAACTAGAAGGTGGTTGAACCCTAGCATGATCAAGTTCATTCCAGCCATTATCTAGTGAAAACTTAAAGATGCGCTTCACACGACCTTTTTTTACCGAAACAATTAGGCGAAGGTTGAAGTTGTGACCAGGCAATTTCCGATCAATGAACTTGCCAAATTTTTCACCGGTTATGGTATATACTAATTCAGTAAATGCTTTGAGTTCATGATGATCGATAAGGAGAGCCGGTGCATATAAAATATTATAACTACATTTGCTAGGATCCGTTGATATAGTAACTATTAACCCTTTAAGAATATCTTCCCAACTACAGTCAAGAATTCGGTACAAAGCTCTTATGAAAGAGCAACAGATTCGAATGAATACTTCTTGCCCCTTAACACTAGCTGTTTCCATATCTTCTTTCGATGCATCGATATCAATCACAGCTCTTAAAGGCTTTTGACCATTAATACATTCGTGAATCCCGGGCAGACCATATACTTCGGAAATGTCATCTGCAACGGAAAACTTTGGGGCTTGATCGTCTTGATCGATTTTTATAACCAATTTATCTCTCACCTCATCCCGGTCATAAGCATTATATAAGCTAGACCCTTTTTCATTCGGAAAGAGAAATGAATAGATTGGGAGATATTCCAATGACCCCTTTTCATCTGACATATCTCTAGGTGGTGATAGGAAAATTTCTCGAATGATATTTAGCAAGTCCTTGGGAGTGAAGTCATTATTAAACTTTTCTTGTCTTAAAGTGTATGTTGCATTAGTCTTTTGCTCTTGTACATTTAGTAGCTGAATTGATGGAGTCTTGGTAATGCTGGTTGAGGCACAGGTAGCTTCTTCATTATCCGACTCATAATTAGACTCATAGTCATTATAATCATCTGACCCTAAGTCGGATCTATTATCAGTACAACTGCTTGAGTCACTTAAACATTCATCGTGGCCGACGCTGTCGTAGCGGAGGGCTGGGGCGGTTCCGGTGCGATCAGTTTGGTCAGAAATAGTTGAGGTATACATGATGTTAGTTTGAAAATGTTTATATTACTTTATAAAATTCGAAAATGTTTAATTTATTTTTTTCGGTAGATGCAAAAAGAAACGATAGCGAACTTATTAAAAGAATCGAAAAAGAAGGGCAACAGGATATACATCAAAAGGATAAGTCTTCTCTGTAATCATTATATAAAATATTGGAAGAAGACTTATCCTATGTAGCCGGATATGATATGACAGCTAGGGTAGGAAAGAGCGCAAAATATTGGCAGAAGGCTACACTTTTCTAGATATGTACTTAGGTATGGAAGGCCTAGTCAGAATCAATATATACCACCTATACCGGCAATCGAAATTGGCATACTTGTACCAGCCATCAAGAAGAAAGGCAATCGGGTATATACTTTTAGATGGGGGTAACTTCGGAATTATTATATAAAATATTGGAAGAAGCCCCTATCTTCCTAGATATGTACTCGGTATGGTATAAATAGGCTGGCTATGATAATACATATCGCACCTCCAACCACGGGACGCGAAATTGGAGCAAATCGTAAATAAAAGGCAAGCGGTTGTATCTGAAAAAGGGTAGGTAAGTGCGTAATCTATTATATAAATATTGGCACTTGCCTACCCTATCACTAGTATGTATCCGGATGTGGCATAAAGGCTTTATCACGATGGTATGTATCTGGACATATGTGGTATATGTACTCGGGAATGGTATAGATGGGCCAGCCACAATAATACATATCGCATCTCCAACTTCGGATATGAAATAGGCATACATGTACCGGCATATGGGGTGAACTAATAGAACTATACTAATACATTACCACTTCTATGACGCTACTATGGTGGATCCCAAAGGGATCATCCTAAAATCGGGTGACCAAAAATCGGTCATCATAGTGCCAGCCAAAACTAACCAATATGTTATATGACGGAGGGTGTTCTGTCGCCGGAACAGTATCACGTGACTATGGCGCAGTAAGGCGCAGTCAAGATTCGCTCCATAATTTCGGCCAGCACTATTCCACAATTTCAGCCAGATCTTTGGATATAATGATTCGGCATCCAAGCTAGCATAAAACTAATTCAGAATTGGTAACTAATAGAATCACTTTAGTTCCATGCCAGTTCCTCAACAGTTCCATGACAGTTCCATGACACCATCATGGCACCATCGTGTAGCCAAGCTGGATTCTAAAATCGTGACTCCAAAAAGATCAGCCAGAATTATAGAATAGTGTCAGCCGAAATTAAACGCAAATTTACTGCGCCACCTGACACGATATTTTTTTTTACACTATTTCAGCATCTAGAAAGGCAACCAAATAGGCGCAAAGGGTAAGTACTCCAATATAGAATCCAGCACCCAATCAGGCGCAGGAGGTCAGTACCTCGATATAAACCAGGTATCCAAACAACTACAGAAGGTCAAGAACTCCATTGTATAATTTAGCAAACAAATGACTCAGAAACAAGAAGAATAGCGTGGTATTTAGATTATTTGTGTGTGGTAATTAGATTATATTGTGGTAATAAAAAGTATATTAGCACAAAAATACGAATATCAAGAAAGGCTTAAAGATATAGCTAGAATGTAAAAGCGATATAAGAAATAATAAAATGTTAGATTACATGTGGTATTTAGACCACATCATTTAGATCATATGTGGTAATTAGATTACATTATTTAGATCATATGTGGTATTCAGATTATATGTGATATTTAGATTATATGTGGTATTCAGATTATATGTGATATTTAGATCATATGCGGTATTCAGATTATATGTGATATTTAGATTACATGTGGTACTATAATCTAGGGTAAGTGGGATACCACATGTGATATAATTATATCACATGTGGTATCCCACTCGTGTACTTCTTCCCTCTTTGATAGCATCATACATTTCATTCGTTTCTCTAACATTTCTGTCATTTTCTATTACTAGATCAGCTTAATGTGATGAGCATGTAATACAACTTCGATAATCACGTGTTACAAATCGGGTTTAAATCATAGAAATAATTTTTCGCAAATAAATATTTTCAATATGGAGTATATACCAAGTAAAGATCGCTCAAAATTAAAATATCCAGATTACTGGGCTTGGGATTTTAACTCCTGGGGAATAAATGACTGGAATACTTATTGGATTGAAAAGCAACTGCAATCGATATATATTACTAAACACAATTCTCACACAGCCTTAGCCGATGAGTTGAGATGTTTGAAACAAGTATATTCAAGTATACATCCTGCTTACGATAAAATCCTTAAATTGTTAAAAGAGTTGCAGGTATATTTAATAGTAATTTCATGTGTTTGACGAAGTGGTGTCAGTGTACTCTATAGCTAATCTAACAGCTGAGCATTGAAAAGATTTTGCCGTGCATAAAACTAATCGGTAGTGCTGAGTGTACGTGGCCATAGAAATATTAGGTTGAGCCAAGTGTTCAAACAAAGAATGTTCTCTTGAGGGCCAAGTGTCAATGAGGGAGGGATGAGTGTCCGTGGCTTATTGTGGGCTTCCTTCCCATCTAACATTTCAAAAAGTGCATTTATTAAATCCCTTAGATCATTAATATAATATTTTTTTCATATAGAATATTACAAAGGACACAACAAACAAAAAAATTTGGAAAGCGAGAGATCGAATCACATCAATAAAAATGGAATCTGAGCTGTTTGAGCTGGAGTCAGATCTCAACAAAGTAAATGATTTAATATAAATTTTTTGATATATTTTAGTGACTTTCTCTCTAATTTTTATTACTGAACTTGTTATTCACAGAAGAAGGGAACACAAGCTGGCATTCAGATAGCACAATGAGGATTTCAATTATATGCCAGCATTGAGTTTGATTCAGTAGAATAAGAACGAAAGAGAATGAAAGCAGATAAAAAGAATAAAGAAGCCTCTTCCTTCATTCCAAATCTTTGAGATCACACCCAACGTGAACTACGAACACCAGAAAATAAAGAACAGATGGTACTCAGGAGAAAAAAGAAAGTTAACTATGCAGAATCCTCAGATTCTGATGAATATGTAGAAGAATCTAAGGTATTGTAATTACCAGGTTATATATGGTGTATTTATAAATCATCCAATTCTAACCTTATTTTTGGAATCTATTTTAAAAGTATAGTGCAGAACCTCTATACTCAACTACCTATGTATAGTAACAATTGATTGATTATAAATTCCTAAAAAAAAATTTTTCATATTAAAATAAAAAATTTAACCAATAATTTTTATAGATATGACCATTAGCTTTCTTTAAATTAAATTTTGGCCAAGTTTTAGCTGTTTAAAAATCTGTAATTTAGATATGCCAATCAAATTTAGTCAAAATTGAGACTAGTTTAAATTTGTGTGTTACAGATTTTTTTCAGCCACATTTAATGTAACATTGATTATCATTATACTTCAGATTTTTTTTTCAATATGCCAAGAAGAAAAAAAAGTTCTAAAGCTGCAAAAAAAAGATTTAATGAACAAGGTTGTTCAAATATAGGTTAATTTAATATTATAGATGATGATTATATACCATCAAGTGAATATTCAGAAGACAGTTCAGATGATGAATTTATAAATGAAAGAATTCAAAAATTAAGTGATTTTACTTTAATTTGGTCAAAAAATGCACATAATAAAATAAAAAAAACATATACTGGAAATTCTAGAGCAACAAAATTTAGAAAATATGGTCCTTCAGGAAAATTTACTCAAGCTGCAAAGTTATCACAACCAATAACTAATTTTTTTAATTTTGATAATATGGAAATAGAAAAAGAAAGTGAAGAAAAAAGTGAAGATGAAATGGAAATTGAAAAAGAAAGTGAAAAAGAAAATGAAGAAAAGGAAATGGAATTTGAAAAAGAAAGTGAAAAAGAAAGTAAAGAAGAGAAAATGGAATTTGAAAATAAAAGTGAAGAAGAAAATAAAGAAGGGGAAATGGAATTTGAAAAAGAGAGTGAAGAAGAAAGTGAAGAAGAGGAAATGGAATTTGAAAATAAAAGTGAAAATAAAAGTGAAAAAGAAGTTGAAGAAGAAATAGAAACTGAAAAAGAAAGTGAAGAGGAAAGTGAAAAGGAAATTGAAGAGGAAAATGAAGAAGAAATTGAAGAGAAAATGGAAATTAAAAAAGATGAGCATTTAATTAAACTTGAAAATATTTTATCTACCAATAAAAAAAAAATAAATGCTTATGAATATTTAAGATATAAAGCATTGCATTTATTCTTTAAATATTATAAACAAAATAATATAACTTAAATAGATGCAAGTTTACAATCAGCTAAAAAAATTTATAATAAGGGAATATATAAGGCAAGGCAAATTAGAAATTGGGCAAAAAATTGGATTCAATTTGGTGTATTACCTAGATCTTTACAAGGATGTCATCAAAAAATAAAGTCTTTTATTGATGATGAAGATGTAATTGAAAAAAGCTTATCATTTATTCGTGAAAATGGAGGAAAAACAACACCAAAAGAATATCAAACTTTTATTAATCAAGTATTATTTATACAAATGAATTTACAAACATCAAAGAGATCAATTTCTATTAAAACTTCTCGTATTTGGTTTAAAAAATTAGGATTAAAACAGTATTAAAACCACAATCAAGAAAAAAGGGTATTTATTTTGATGGACATGAAAGAGAAAATATAATTGAATATAAAAAAGTTTTTTTAAATAAAATGCTACAATATAAAAATTTTATGCCAAGTTTTGAAAGTGAAAATATGATACAACAAAATCCATCACTTTTACCCAATGAAAAAATGCATATTTTAGTTACTTATGATGAATATTTATTTTATTCTAATGATGATAGACCAATAATTTGGGCTCCTATTGGAAATCCACCTTTAAGAAAAAAAGGACAAGGAAAATCAATTATGGTTAGTAAATTTTTATTGAAAATAATAGGTAGATTAAAATTATCAGAAGAAGAAATTATATTAAATCCTAATGTTCCAATTGAAGCTAGAAAATTTTTGAAACCTGGAAAAAATGAAGAAGGATGGTGGACAGCAGAACATTTATTAGATCAAGTTATAAATTATGCAATTCCAATATTTGAAGTAAAATATCCTAATTGTATTGGTATTTTTCCTTTTAATAATAATACAAATCATGGAGCAATGGCAAAAGATGCATAAAATGTTAATAATATGAATGTAAATCCAGAAGGAAAATAAGCAAGAATGAGATCAACTTATTTTGGTCCAAATAAAACTTTTCAATCAATGATTTTTCCATCTAATCATCCAACTTTTTCAAATCAACCTAAGGGTATGAAACAAGTTTTAATTGAAAGAAATTTATGGTATGAAAGATTAATTGGTTATTGTCAATTATGTAAATTAAAAATTGAAGATATAACTAGAACAGATTGTTGTATGCATAGAATTTTATCTTTAGAAGATGATTTTAAAGCACAAAAATCTCAATTACAAGAAGAAATAGAAAAAAAGGGCATACAGTCAACTCCCTCTATAGTCACTCCTGTTATAGTCACATTCTACTATATAGTCACACCAGTTGAATGTTCAAAACACTTTATTATTAAAAACTATCCTATATAGTCACAATCTATCTATAGTCACTATCACAC